TTGAGTATAGTCTCTCATGTTGGGTGGATTAGAATGCGATATTCCTGAATGTATTGGTACCTGCTTTCCATAAAATGGGGTACGGGAAAAAATTTTGATTGATTTTGACTCCTGTGATAACTTTGGATGATTTTTCAGATCGATGACCTGGGCTCAGCTGCTTGTAGCATGCCTAACACTGTCTGCAAAAGCTTCCCTCAAACTGATCATGCTGATATTTTTTGTAATCTGTACGCTATTTCGCTTTGGCTATTATCTGATGACACCGGAACGCGATGAGCAGGAGATGGAGCAAGCCGCACTACCAATGCCTGAAAGGTTTTTTTCAGTAATGCAGGAAATTGGCAGCGAATTCTTACCCAGTCTAATTTAATACCATAAGTAATTGGTTTTAATTGCACGAAAAAGACAGATATTACTGATATTTGGATTTTGAACTTATTGAACAACCCGTGGAGGAAAAAATTTCAGAACCTGAACAACAGATTAGTACTAAGTCGCCCGTGTCCATTGGCCGTTGCAGGCAAAAGCTGCTTTTTCTGATTTTCTGATAATCTTTGATGTCGAAATCGTAGGTGGATCCAGAACGATTTCCTGGTGAGGGGAAGGGCGGGAGAGGGGAGGAGAGTGGGGCTTCTAGCGGCGACGACCGAGAGGGGGGCGAAATGGGGCTCTAGAAGAAGGAGAGGAGGGGGGGGGGTGCGAAAGACAGTTTTCTTCAGTTTTAGCTTTAAATTCGGGCGTTAGCACTAGTGTCTGTGCCCCTTAGTGGAGAAGGGGGAGGGGGCGCGAAAGACCTATATCCTTCTCCCCTTGGTCCTCCTATGGTCGAAATAGTAAGAAATGCCTTCATCCAAGAGGTTACTTTTGTTATTTGCAGCACTACTCATCACTACGGATCTCCAAACTGGCCACCAGTTCAGCATCATCGACCGTGTAATTACGATGTATTTGGCGTACGAATACCTGCAGCTGATGATACACCACCGTTAACACCACAGTCAACGCATGAACCTGAAACCGGTATGCTTCTTGAGCATAGCATTTGCGCCTATCATAATGGCAATCATGAAATATTAGCAACCAACGTGTGGTTTATTGGCAAATATTGCTGTTCTCGTGGATAACTTCGAGGATTAGATTGCACTATAGGGACACACAGCCCTTCTACTATTCATTTATTCATTTT